GAAGTAGAAGAGATTATATTTGTGTATCTATTTATAATATACATGCATATATATATATATATATATATATATATATATATATATATATATATATATATATATATATATATATATATATATATATATAAATATATATATATATTATACCCCATTGCAGCTTTTACATTTCCCCCCTTATTTTGCTTAGTCTGAAATGACTCAAAAGCAGCTAGACTACCTTACCTGCTACACGTATATATTTTAAAAATATTACATGTATCCTTGTTGGCTTTCTTTATGGTCCTACTGTATTTTTCAATAACTCCGAATATCTTATTTACGTTTCATTTTTTAGAAACAATGCCTTTTCTATCTGTAACATAAGGTTCTGATTCAGAGTATGAGTAACTTACAGTTACCAGACAATGTTATATTATATCTTTGTAAACTGCGCAAGATGTGCATGACGACTACTCTTGTGGGTAGCAATCTCATTATTAGCATATATATAAATATATAATCATCACCATCCTGGCTCAGGCAGCTTACATGAACGAAGTTGATTGTTGTAGTATTGCTCTTTTCATTCATTCTCACTCATCCGATTACAACGCACAGTGGATTACGGTACAACAGGATTTATTATTGGCTCTTGTAGGCTCATCACAGTAAATCCCCGAGACCGATCTCTCATAGTTATAGTTACAAAGCATTGTAATAGTAAAAAGAAAAGTATTTTATAACAGTAACAGGGATTTCGACGGGGGCTCTCGTGGCCTAGAGGTTAAGGTGTTGGCCTCTCATTCAAAGGTCCCGGGTTCGAATCCGGGTAGCGACCGAAACATTTTCTTCTCTAAAATTGTCTCCTTTCACCTCCTTTCCTGCTCTCTAGCAATGATCTGTTGTCTGCTTTCATTTCCACTTTCTGCCCCCACCCCCTCACCTCCTTTGCCCCCTCCTCTGGGCTCCTGACTCTTTCTGCAGCATTTCTACTGCTCCTCCTTGGCTCCTCCTTACTGCTGTCTTTCTGCCACACCCCTGATCTTCTGGTAGGAAAGATCTACACCTAGCCTTCTCGGACAAGGGCGAAAAATCTCGGAGGGCCCGTGTGCAAGTTGCGCACGTTAAAGATCCCTTGGTGGTCTAAAATCGATAAGAGTAGGCTTCGGCCGCCACCCGGGCAAAATTCAAAATTTCCTACCAACTGAAAATATTAGGAGTGTCCCGCGCGCTCATATGACCTATGCAGTTGCGAGCGCCGTAAAACACTATACAAAAACAAAAAAAGGGATTTCGACGGACGTGCTCGATGATAAGTGGACCTCTCTGAAATTATAGACATAATTTGCCTACACAAAAGATCTAGCTATTTTGACAGTACACAATACTGTAGACATTGACATTTTATATAATGTCAAGCTTGGTACATGTATAGAGTGTGATCGAGTATAAATAGAAACAAAATACTGATTGTATATCTCCAGTATGTAATTCGAGCAGTTTGACGACGAAACACTACAAACGTCATTTTTAAGCTTGGCTAAAACCAGTACCATGTAGATTTATCTACATGTATAATGGTGGGGCACATTCCAAAGTCTACTTTAATTTTTCACAAAATTCGATTTTTCCTCTTTAAAAAACAAAAACAAAAAAAACCAAACAAACAAAATGTGACATATATCCTCTGAGCGTAATTCTTTCCTCGGTGTAGCTAGTCGCCCGATCTCGGTCGAGTAGCTGACGCAACTGGCCCATGCGCATGTTCCGGGTGAACGAATTCGGTTTAGACGGTCAGAGAGATCGTATAAGAACGTATAGAATTCGGTCCATTAGCCCCTCCTAGCCTGCGGCTTCTGGCCCGTTCTGCACATGTTCCGTGTTCTGTCCCCTGGGGATTTCTCTCTCTCTCTCTCTCTCTCTCTCTCTCTCTCTCTCTCTCTCTCTCTCTCTCTGTCTCTCTCTCTCTGTCTGTCTCTCTCTGTGTCACTGTTTCTCTGCCTGTCACTGTTTCTTTGTCTGTCTGTCTGTCTGTCTGTCTGTCTGTCTGTCTGTCTGTCTGTCTGTCTGTCTGTCTGTCTGTGTCACTGTTTCTCTGTCTCCCTCTCTGTCTCTGTCTGTCTGTCTGTCTGTCTGTCTTTCTGTCTGTCTGTCTGTCTGTCTGCCTGTCACTGTCTCTCTTTCTCTCTCTCTGTCACTGTCTCTCTCTCTTGGTGTCACTGTCTCTCTCAGAGTGTCTGTGTGTCTGTCAGTCTGTCTCTCCCCCCCCTCTCTCTCTCTCTATCTCTCTCTCTCTCTCT